CTGAGAAGCATGGTCTCAGGGCCAGGCGGAGCTTCCAGAAGGATTGCGGTAGTGGGTGCCTCTTCGACGTGGACAAGGACCCAATGGAGCTGACGGACCTTGCTGCACTTCCGGACCCCCGGTGAGAAGGGTTGAGGGCTGCGGCTTTGGGTACACTACAATGTGTTCTTTCGGGGTTTGGGGTGAATCCTTGAGTCGCCGTTGAGGGTGCAGCAGTCTGACGCAGATTTCTACAAGGCGGAAGGAAGCAGAGCCTAGAGTACCAATTGGTACACAGGTTTGTGTTCCCATCATAACTTAAGGGATGCAAATTTGTGTATCGGTCCTTCATGTGAGCATGGACTGGCAGTGGCACTGGCACTTGGGGCCTCGGCCTCTCAAAGCCGCGAGGACCAGGCATCCATCCGCAGCGCCACATACAGACATGTGTACACAAAGTATATCGTACAGACATGCATGAGCAACTTCATCTTCACAGATGCAAGACTGCTGTGCAGAACATGTTAAGCTCTTCGCCCCCGAGCCAGATCTCAGCTCAGACTGGACTTGTCAGGGTTCTTTTGCCGGAAAATGCCGGATGTCGCCAAATCCAAGGACCCCGAGTCCGCAGCGGTGCTGGCCACCCTCCAGCAGACGCTGGCATCCTTTAACTCCAACAACAGCAAGGCTGGCGAGGAGAAAGCATCCATGTACGGTACTTCTTTCCGCTTCTGTTCAACGCTTGACTTGTGCTGACATAGTGCTCTGGGGCTGAACACCGAAGCTCGTGAGGCGGAGATCGCTGAGGAACCAGCCGTGGAAGCCTGCATAAAGGCTGCCGAGACCGGCGTGCTGGGGCCGTTTGCATTTGCCGAGGATGATGAGGGTTCTGTCACCGAAGGGTTTTCGTAAAACCGACCCTGGGCTTGATAGTTACAGTCACAGTATACTTTACAGTATTATATAGAAGTTCATGGTTTGGCTTTCGGGCTTTATGGGGTGGCAGGTGAGGCGCAGGAATTCGGAGGAGTTCTGATGCGGCACTGCGACCGCAGCACACCCCCCTCGCCGCCAGGACTTTTATCTCGGTGCGCTGCAACGACCGCTACCAGAGATCCGACAGGATACGGAAGAGATCTTGGCGGTGCATGCAGCGGTTATGAAGAATCCGACTCTTGCGTCGCAGAGTGCGTCTGTGAGCGTAAGATCTCATTCCAGGAACTTTCCAG